GAAGTATCTAAGTACAACGCGTTATTATAAACCTAATAATAGCTACAAGGTGATTAACTAACAAATAACAATGCAATTACAATCAAATGATTTTCTAGTTTTATAGGATAGGTGAGTTCAAATCTTTATTATTTTGAAGCAAGCGAATATTTTTAATTTCAACATTGTTTACAGGGGTGCCCAACCCGACATGTGTTGGGTCGTTTCAAAGGGCGGTGTCCCGTGGAGGCATTGTCCCAGTAATTTGTAGCTAGTATCAGTTGGTACAAATAAATAATTACGTTATTTCGACTAATGAAACACCTACCATTGTTGGGTAATCCATTTTGAGGATACTTAGCATATACAGATGTTTTGTTATAAAATAGAGCTCTACCTTATGAGCTAACTAGATTAAACTATCTCGGATGATAAGGTAGGTATTTATTTATTGTAAAAAAAATATTAATTAACATAAAAGTTTATAGTAAGTAAAATAAAGAGTGATCTACAGCTTTTGCTGCTACAGCCTTCCTATAGGTAAATAAAAGTGGTTTTAAATGTTAAGAGCCCTTTTACAAAATTGCGCCGCTGCATGCACTAGTATATATTGCATTTTACGGGTGTTTCGAGTCTTATAAAATAATTATTAATGAACTAATTATAAAAATAATACATATTTCAATAGTTCAATGATGGTAGATCAGTTTCATGAAGTTTTTGATAGTAATTCTATTTAATTCAATATCAAAATACTAATACATTATGTTACAACAAAAACATAGTTTTGATGTCGTAGTATATTAAATGGAGAATTAATTTGAGCTAATTTATTGAACATTCTTGAGAGATTGAAGCGTTTGAAGTTGCGCGTATTATCGTTTATTCAGTAAACTAGCTGCAGTAGAACGATCAGTACAAAAAAAGGAAAATAGTATTTGCAAATATTCTACATTAACTTACAATAGTAAGAATAAATCTACTGTTTACTTCTATTGGTAATAGTAAATCTTTTCTAATGGGGTAAACGAGGCGCTCAAAAATTACAATTTTTTGCAAAAAATGTAAAAGGGCTCTTAATGCAATGGATATAAAATGTATACCCACAAAAAAGTAAGCAGTTTCTATATAATGACTTTTATAGAAAAATTGCTTGAGGCGTTATGAATAATGCGATGTGACGAGAATCATAAATATTTGAGAGATAAAAAAAATAATCCACACGTGCTTGTAATATTCATGCATAGTATAATAAATGGAATAACTAGCAATTACAAAAATAACGTATATAGAAAACAATATAAAAGTAAACAGAATAGCGTTATAATTCTTATGTTGCTATAAATCGTTTTTTATCAAAATCTAATTAGCGATAGTCTTATAAGAAAATCTCCGATTAAAGCAATAATGACAAGCGCACTTTGTAAATATTCATGCAGTTGACCGTAAACTTATACCCCATTATTAATAGACGAATGGATTAGTAAGTCCATGTTTTTTCTCTGTTTTAAAATTAAAATTGACTGGAAAATATGTATAATTACATGAAAACAAAATATAAATCAACAGACCCGTCTTTCCCAGTAGGCACTTTGGGCAAGTGCCCAGGGCCCCGCGATCGATAGGGGGCCCCCTCAGATCAAATATAAAGTCCCTAGTTCCTGTTAAATCACAAAATGGAAGTCATAGGGGCCCCATTATCCTAATATGCCCAGGGCCTCCAATACGTCAAAGACGGCACTGATATCAACCATATGATGAAAGTCCTACCTAGTACCCATTCGATAAGTTGCAAAAAGAAGGTTAACATAATGTTGCGTGAGAAAAGCATCTTAGTAAAATAATATTATATTAATCAAATAGAGTTCGTGCGGCGAATAAATGGCGGGGAAAAGGTTAAAAAGAATGCGCGGGAGTGTGCCCCCGCCTCTACGGGAGGCAGGCCAATGGTCGAGTGCGCTGAGGGGGCGTAAACAAAACGTGGCATGCGCTGTTTTTACAGAAATAAATTTGTGAACTTACTGTGGTATGTCTTACTAATTATTTCAATTACTTTTGGCGCTCACCCACATTCGGGATAGTGCGTTTTTACGAATGTTGATTGGTCATGGTAGCTGGCATCTAAAAGTACCTACGTGTGATTGTAACTCAATAGCCGTATTTTGTGGAATGTTGTCGAGGGGGTATATTGTTTTTAGGACTTAGTTTTGTTTTTGTAATTAAAGTATACGTTTTTCTTATTCAATTATTTTTACGGCGATTAGGTATAATTACCTTTACTTAAAATAACCGTAGCTATTTTAACATTTCTTTTGTCAAAAGAATGGACTTTTATTTTTTGTGCATTTGATTAACAATGTCATCATATCAACACCTTGATTTGTTTAGTTTATTTAAGTAAAGTATGCTATAGAAGCTTAGAATCAGAATAAAATAATATTACTAGTTAAATATCACAATGCAATTTGAACGAAATCCAGTATAAGCTTTAATGTTTATTTAAGTAAATGAAAAACAAAATAGACATAAATAACTATGTAACTATTTCTATAATGCTGGAATATACCTATTAAAAGTAAAATAAAACAGCTGATTCCATATACTCATAAATTCTTTTCCAAAGCATAATTAAAGTTACTTAATTAATCGCCAAAATATAAATTTTTAATTTAAATTAAGCCTTAATCGGGTTTAACACAATACATCATTCCATCTTTGTCAATTGTTTAAGGCCTAATAGAGATAGAATGAGGCTTGAATACAATTAGCTTTATAATTTGAATTAAGCATATTGGTGCAAGTGTGCCTAAATGATTTTTAATGTTTGTTATTTTACTCTAATTTTCCTAAATTCAACTTTAAAAAAAATATAGGTTTGTGTGCAGCCGTAATCTTATTAGGATTATTTTTGAGGATTATTGAGAAAAGACTTCCTATTAGGTATTATGGAAATTTCTTAACTATGAAAGATAGGTATAGATAGAAACATTGGATTTTAGATATTTTTCTGTGTTTTCTTTCACTACAACTGGGTATGTTATTTTTTATTCTACACCCTTTTTTTAGAATGCTGTGTCTCAAAAAGAAAAAAAAAATACTAATTCGCTCGAATGCCAGCCGTTGGCACTGAGAAATAATAATAATAATATTTTCTATTGTAATACACCATACAAGACTTACAAGAAAAATAATTACCCAAGCAAAAAGGATGGTAACGCTACGGGTGTGACAGTACCTGTAACGGAAAGATGAGAGATTCCTCTACCTTACTAGATTACCTAAAAAATATTTTGCTAAGATATTTATTAACAAATAGAGGTATGCGTGAAATTTTTCTTACTTACTTACAAAAAAGTACCGTACAATTAAGGAATGAATAAAGTTCACGGAGATATAATGCGATTCAAATAAGAATAGGAAAGCCAATGACCTCTATCTGTCAAATGTCGCTAGAAAAGTACGGTTTGCAAAAAAATCTTGGAACCCTTTATTAGAACTCCGCTAATTCAAGAATAAAACCAAACATTTGTAAATGAACAATAATAAATATTGATAATTAATATCGGTTGATATTTTTTTTCACTTATTGAGCTTTGGTCATGAATGGTTGATAATCTAAATCGTCACCAAATGTTACTTTAAGTTGCGTTCAGAAACTCGATTTCAAACTTTCGTTTACATAAAGGATGCATGTTCGTATGTGACCTAGTAATAGTGCATGATTATTCATAACTACTCCGGCGGTAATGCAGAAATGAGCGGAATAGAAGAGCTAGATTCTGATTTTTTTTTATGTTATAGGGGGCATACGAGCAGACGGCTCACCTGATGGTAAGTGATCACCGTCGCCCATGGACACCTGCAACACCAGGAGTATCACAAATGCAATGCCGGCCTTTAAGGAAGAAGTACGCTCTTTTCTTTTTTTTTGATTGTTTTTCTCACAGTCTTTAATAAATAAATATTATTAAAAATCAGTGTTTTTTTTCAATGTTATTTTCAATAAATGTTATGTTTTTATTAACTAAAAACATAACTATAATTGCTATTTCCTCTTTCAAATGTTTAATACTTGAAAAAGTACTCATTTGACATTGTGGGTTACCTAAAATGCGAAAAGATGGCGCTGCCTTGCAGCTTAAGGCTAGGAAAATTTCGACGCGGTGAATAGGGCCGTGGTAGCATAATGGTCAGTGCATTCGCCGGGATTGCGAAGGATGCGGGTTCGAGTCCCGTCGGCTGCCGTGGATTTTTTTCTAGTAACTCTTCTTTAAATTTAAATAAATGTTATTGAAAAAATCCGATGCTTTTTCTCACTTAATCTAATTAAATAAGTTTTATTAAATAAAAACTTTTTTTTGCTCACTCTACCTATTTGGTTTGAATTGACAGCTATAACATCACAATATGGCGCCCATTCGGTCCTATTCTTAGTTGAATCGCATTATACACCACGTAATTATCAATTAACACGAGTTCAACACAATCAATTCGATGTGATCAATATAAACTAAACGCTTAATTTATCTTAGACATATCTTAATCGATCATAATTAATTAAACCAATAAATAGGTACAATACAAAAAGCCTCTCGCGAAAAGTATAACCGGCGTGAGTGGCCTGAATACGGACGCAGCGTGACGCGAATTAAATTAAAAGCGACGACATGTGTTTTCTTTCCCACAGGAAAATACATTAGCCGAAACATTTCCCGGATAACCACCGTCCCGCTCACACTTCCTAACATACCGAATCGGATGAGAGAGAGCCGCGAAATGGCGCCCTACAAGCTAACAGTGAGCTTTCAACGTAAATCTGATAAAGCGAACAACATTACGGCACTAACACAAAGAAATTTTCTTCTTACAATGTTGTGAACTCGATATTAATCTCATGGCTCTGTCTAGCGACACGATCGGTTTTGCGTTAGAGCGAGACGAGCGTAGGTTTCGGAGTCGCGGTGCGCCCGGTTCTATTGGGTGAAAAAGTTTGCCGCGTCCCGCCCTTTCTCGACGTGCAGGGCTGCGTTCGCGCCTTCTGTACAAAATATTGTTCTAAGAAACAGTATGTCGGTTGAGTTGAGGGGCGGCGTCGCGGGTGCCCGCAGTCATGCTGTGTGCCTCAGCGGAGTCACTGGACACACGCCGCGACATTACACCTTACGGGAAAAAATCGTGCCGTGACTATCCAGGGAAATATATGTCAACGAGTAAGATACGCGAAAGCAAAACGTTATAACGACGCGCCAGACACTGTGATACAATCAATACTATTGATCTAGTTAGCTAATAATACTGAAATTTATTTTAGATATATACAAAATTATATGTACGTTGAGTGAAGTGTTTTGATATTTTTTGTGTGCTCATACATTTAGTGATATACTGCCCCTGTACTGTAAGACTGGATTTCTGTTAGACAACAAGTAAGTTGCAATCATGTTACTGTTTTTGCAGATACAAAAAAAATAGCTTTGAAAGGCCTGTCGAGAAAAATCAATATCATCACAATCGTAATTGCTGCTTAGCTTATGAAAACTTATATGTTTTAATAAAACTATTTTTTTCATATTCACACTTTCAAATTAATGGCCTATAATACAATAAAACCTTAAGATTTCTTATGCTATAATTTGGAGTACCTACCTACCCAGTTTGGTGAAGAAACCTCCATTTTACAGAAGACTATAGTGAAATTATACCGACTACCTTTTGATTACGTTGTTTTTTTGTGGGCCAGTAAAGTTCCGAACATCTGATTAAGTGGGGCGATTTGTTGCGATTTGTACAAAATAGAACAGTTTTCGATTAAACATCAAACTATCAATTTAAAAACACTTTCATACTCAGAATCTCCGGTTATAAGCATCCGCAATCTACTTAGACTAGGTATTTCCGGAGAGATTGCTTATAAAACCAGATATAAGTAAATAGGAGGTTGTAAGTGCAACATGAAAGCATACTGAAACACAATGAATGTAAATCAAAACTACTGCTATTCATTTCAAAATATTATTGTTTTTATCAGATTTGAACTCATTCAAGAATTAATTGATTTTGACTCCTCGTAGGTAAGCTTTCTTTACGAGCATCATAATCAAAATCAGATCATTATGAATAATATTATCATACAGTTAAGAGATTCAATGAAACTATCTCAAGTTGTATATGTTTTTCAAAATACAGATATATAGGTTAAATTGGTCACCAAGCCAATGACCGGCCTCTTCATACGTTGCTTTACATCTGCAACAGCTCCAAAAGCTCGTAGATGAAGTGGTTAGCGCGTCCGGTTTATAAAAGATTTGAGTGCGTTTGACCACAATCGCACCTGATGACCCTGATGTTAAGCAGCGGTGTGGTCTAAACTGGAGCACGGCAACTCAAATAATACCTATTTATTCTTGCCTCTTGGAAGTATACAAACTCTAGTAATGAATAGGATGGCTGATCGATAATTTATCATCTCAAACTCTTCCGTGTTTCGGAATGTATGAACTGTTGATCCCGGTTGTAACCGGTAAAAAAAAAAATGTATTTGCAGTACCCACCAATCCGTAATAAGCCCGCGTTATCATGGCGGGTTCCAGCTATTCCATCCATTGAGAAGATCTGTCCAAGCAGTGGACACGTCAAATGTCAAAAAATGATAAAGACGATGACTGTAACATAATTTATAGATCGCATGTGCCAATTACGATCTTTTTAGGGTTCAGATGATGTATTTCTGTTGCCGCTATAACAAAAAATACCTACTAAAAACAGATATATAATGATGAAAAACAGAGATAAAATAATTACTTATGGGGGCTCTCATACAACACTCCACGTTAGGCTAGTTGACCCTTTTTGGAAAAAGGTTTTAAGTGGTTCATAAATGTTCCGAAAAAAATGTGTTGTATTTTTTTGAGACCTAGAAAGCTACAAATCTTTAATTTTAAAATAGACTTTTCATGGACATACAAAAACGCTGTCGGCCATTTTAGTCTATAGATTATCTATTTTATGACGTCGACGGTAGTAAACAAAAACTCGTAAGCACGTAGAAAATAACCTATCGGAGTTTATAATAAAGAAAAACATGATTTCTAATAAATACCACGAAAAATATAGTATGTAATTATCATTATTGTATTGTACGAGAATGTTAAGACACATCCTTGAAGACTCCAGGAAAGTTGTGGATTAAAGTGCCGAAAGAAATGAACCTACGCAATACCTGGTTAGAACTGCAACTTTATCGACAAATAGTAAAATTTATTTTTGCGAAGATCACTTTGATGTAAGTACTCATTGAATAATATTTTAAGTCTCTTCATTTATTATCAGTTTTATTACAAGTTTTAAAATTATGTATGAATGACATTTAGTTGTTTACTAAGAGACGTCACAATCATGGCGGATGTGACGAACAGCGTTTTTAGTGTTTAAAAAGTATAGACTAAAAATATTTTTTTTAAATTAATTTTCTACAGCAGTCTTCTGCTTTTATGAAGTAAAATTGATATATTTAGGTTCCTTAGACCAAATACTATAAGAAATAAACATTTATTTAATACAATTCGACATGAGTCAACTAGCCTATTGTGCAACTGTGAAACCTTAGCAATTATAATTGTCATAAATTGAATAAAACAAAACTACTCCTAAGATTTATGTACGTACTATAAACGATAATAATTCTATAATAGGTACACCTATTTTATTCGCTAATTTGCACCGTTTTAGGATATTTTGTTAACGATATAAATAGATTTTTGTATGAGGGTGTAGTACGTTTAGGTACTGTTTATATAGTTCTCACATTTTTCATTTACAAATTTACGGTGTATAAATTATTTGGGTTTGGTATACTATGCATCAGGCCATCATTTGGATATTGCAATAATGGTACTTTTTTTTTTACTTTTAAAAGCCTTCGCTATCTTATCTTTTTTTTTAGTCCGGTACCTACTGTCATTCGGGATGATGATGTTAAGATTCTAATGACACCCGAATTTGTACAGACCTTCAAAAATTTATGGTAAAATATATAAACGTACATGCATACCTACATGTTTATGACCCTGAGAACATAACTCTTTTCTGGGCATTTACGTGAAAATTCAATAAAAAAATACTAACTAACTAAAAAGTGTGAAATAAAAAAGGTAAATTTAAAAAATCAAAAAACCCGACTGCTTAATTATACTTCAAATAAAAACTGAAAAGAAAAAAACAAGTCCAGTAGTCTATAATTCTGTTAATAAGGAACAAAGCTACTTTAACAGTCGGGACCCATTAGATATTCAAGAATACATAATATTTTTCAACAGTGGGTCCCGACTGTTAAAGTAGCTTTGTTCCTTATTAACAGAATTATAGACTACTGGACTTGTTTTTTTCTTTTCAGTTTTTATTTGAAGTATAATTAAGCAGTCGGGTTTTTTGATTTTTTAAATTTACCTTTTTTATTTCACACTTTTTAGTTAGTTAGTATTTTAAGACGGTATATACCGTAGTCTTGTTACTTCAGTAAGGGAATTAATATCGCGGGAATTATTAAGTACCTTAAGACAGTCTAAAAATGAATCTAATGATACCGCATACATATTTTTTTAAAGGGAAATTTAGAAAAAATATTATTATGTCTTTATCCCGTGGGACTTTTAGGATAAAATGTATCCTATGACACTCCCGTAATCAAGACAAATCTAACGATACCTCATACATCAAAATCCATCAAGCCGTTTAGGCTACAGGAGGTCACAAAGGAACAGACATACATACATACTTACATACACTCCCTAAACATTACCCTCCCTCTTTGGCAGTCGGGTAATAAAAATAAAGAATTAATGCTCACTATTGCCATCAATTTAATAACCATAATCTTCAAAATATAGAATTCAAATTGTAGCACAAGGGTTTCGTACCTAACTGGTAAAAACGGAACCTTATTGTCTTTGAGTAGGATATGAATATAATTTCTATTATTTTTTTTTCAATAACACAGTAATGGACGTCAAAGTTGTTATTTTTTTTATTATGGGATCTTTCTCAAAATTTAAACTTGTTAAGAATTTGAAATTTTGATACAGAATACCCCATACGCTTTATTTAAACAACAAATATTGAAAACGCAGATTAATAATGTACTTTGTTAGTTGTGACAAAAAAAACAAATGATTTTTCTTTTCGCGGTTTGTTGCGATGTCTAGCTCAATAACAGGATCAGAGTAAGGCGACTTGCGCTTGGCCAGTTTTTTTTAATTATCCTGAGGTGGGTGGGAAAAGGCAACGGCGAACGCCGCTACCAGTAACACATTCCGTTATGGAATAATTAAAGAATGCGTAAAGCTTAATTTAGTTTAGAATTCCCAATATCATTTCATTACCATTTTGGGAATTGTAGTACAATTCTCAATTTGAATTTATTATCTAGAGTTTATATGAGTATATATGTTTTAACCCACAATCGATTAGGTGTCAGATAATTTAATTAAGATATACCAGTTATATAAATAACTTGGGTATTCATTTAAAAATAGTCAAAATGTCCTGTAATTGACTATAAATTACATTACGTAATAATATTTATAATTAATAGCTACCGATTAATAAAGTTTATTAAAATCAATTCTTTCAATTTCAGTTTTCCGTATTAGATATTTTTATCGATTAAAGTGTGAAATATTAATATTTTCATCAGAATGTCTTCGTTTCCATTATTTTCTGTCATGCAAAATAACTATAAACGCCGCGCACAATAATAAAACTGTTCTGATTTTTTTTATATTAAAAACTGTTCCACAAAACGGTCCACCAACTGCAGAAATTTTCATCCATCTGTATAAAAATTATAGGGGTATTTTTTTCTTTTTAGTTTATGTGTTTATGTATGAATTTCTTTGAATAGCTCTGTTATAATAACTGTTTGAATAACTATACGGAAAACAATCTTTCATATTTCGTTGCAAAAACACCATAATAACAAATAATTAAAAAAAACCTGCCATAATGCAAACAAAAAAAAATCAAAACCAAGTTTATCATTATTAATTTTTAATTTTCAGTACCGAGTAGTGAGGGTTTGCGGTGTATCTAACCTATTTTTTGATTATTTCTATAGAATATGTTTGTAGAAATTATTTGTTTTGGTATCGCTTTGCATCAGTCAGACCTTCAATTGGATAGGTATTGTAATAATGATATTTTTTTTTTCGTTTTAAAAGCCTTCACTATCTTATTTTTTATTAGCCCAGTATTTGGGCATTTGGGGTGATGAAGGATTCTAACAACACCTTAATTTGTACAGACCTTTTAAAATTTATGGTAAAACTAGTGGCCTGCCCTCGCTTCCCTTCGGTGTAGAGCTGTAGTGTAAACTATAGTTTTTGTTCTCAGGCTTGTGCTATAAACAATGACTTTATTTATATAATTACAC